GTACCATGAACATAACAGAGTACACTGTTTCGCCCATTATACCCCCCATGCGTTGCCATTCCTGAGGACTCAGGTGTTATTACTCTGTACCCAGTAAATTAACGCCATATCCCACCCTACAAACCGAAACACAGCCATGTAAACACAACTACTTTACGGTTGAAACACGAATGGGTCAGAGGTACCCAAGCAATCGACTTTTGTACAAAGTCTCCCTCTGGTATTGAATGCTGTAGTATTTAGTTAATGGAACAAATGTACCTGACTGGGGAATGGGATTGTTAGTAATGAGATTTGACAGCCCCATTGCTAGCAATATACCCTATCAGGTCGACCTCCACGTGGTCCCCACTGGAAACCATCATGGCTAATTCTTGTTGAATTCGTCACGATGGGCTAACTGGCCTACTTCATCGTCACCTATTATCACTCACTACATCACACACCAGCGTATACCGATAGTGAAGGCGGGGTTACCATTCATCATTTCACCAATTTAAAAAAAAAATATTAATAAAAAAAAATTAAATTAAAAATAAACCTGGTTAGCAGAAATAATATATTTATTTATACATCCGACAAATTACTTTATCTCACAATATATTTATAGCCTAATTTAAAATAAAATTATAAATATTATAATCCTAATCCCTTCATACATGTTACAATACATAATTAAATTGTTAAATCTATCTTTATGCATGGAATGTACGTATCATAATTATTATCATTTATTTTTTATTACACAATTGCTCCAATACGTTATACATTAGTTATTATAATTACCAATATATAAGTATGTATTATTAAAAATTACTGTACCTTTCAAGGATATTTTCAATGTTACTTCGACTTTTATAGAGTCGACCATCACAAAATACAAGAACATGGGGCGACATAAGAAATATTTTTATTAACCTTTCATGCCAAATTGATTATAAAACTGCACAGTTTAAAAGTTAATTCAATTTATCTCTCTATAAATAGGAATAAATAATTAGAATTATACAAAAATAGATGTATGTCTATAAATTTACCGCTATTTATTTGGTTTTTAATTTATTAATCACTACATTATTGAGAGTCGGCACCGCCCTTATATTAACGAAGCTGGAAAATGATTTTATGCAACCATCTAAAAGCAACAATAGAATAAACACTTATAGTTATAGAAGACTACCTTACTGAAATAATAATTACGAAAATTTGTAGAGATGTTTGGATATTAGTATATTTGTTAGTCAATCACAATTAAACGGCTGAACAGATACATATGAAATGTACAGGACATAGGTAGATTATATTATAATCTATAGGCTACCTTATATACTGATACATACGAAGAAAGTATGACATATGTATATATACGAAATATGTATATTAAAAAATATGGCAACTTTATTTTTTTATGCAACTTATAATCGCAAATAAGCTGACGGCCCACATGATGGAAAGTGGTAACCCTCATCTAGGAACATAAACGGTGCCATAGACATAACAGATTATACTGTGTCACCCAAGATACTTTTATACGTTTTTGTAGTGTAAAAATGTCAAATTAAACAAATTGGTATACATACAACCAGATATCATACAACTGTTTTTTGTTCGAATTCACGCGATCCTGCGAACATTCTCAAGATTCGCGCCTCATATTTAATATTCCAAATTTAAAATATTGTGTTCCAAATTAAAAATATTGTTATAATGATAGGTTAGCGCTGGCTTCTAATTACAACGTGCACCAGTCCTTAAAAAAAATGCATCGCTTCAATATTTTTAATCTAGGTTACCGGCGCGAACGTCACAATCAAAGTTTTAATTAATTGCAAAAATATTCTTTTACGCAAAACAATAACCGACTTTAATTTAATATTAACAAATTTATCAAAAGTTGATTGCTTGGGTACCTCTGTCCCATTCGTGTTTACACCGTGAAGCTGTTGTGTTTGCATAGCTGTGTTTCGGTTTGAAGGGTGGGATATGGCGTGAATTTACTGGGTACAGAGGAATAACATCTGAGTCCTCAGGAATGGCAACGCATGGGGGGTATCATGGGCGAAACAATATACCTGTTATGTCCATGGTACTGCTCATGTCTATAGGCGACGGTTACCACTTTCCATCAGATGGGCGGTCAGCTTGTTTGCCATTCTAAGTTGTATAAAAAAAAATATGTAATAAAATCAGCCAAGTGCCAGTTAAGAGTAAATTTTCAAAATTGCAGGTAAATAGTAACTACGTAGGTACCTGACTTGTATTACCGAAATCTCAACGTGAATTGCTATTTTTTAATTTTCTGATGTATTCCGCACCCCCCCCCTGCCAAAGTGGTCCACTGTTTAAAATGTTTTTACATTTATATACGTTATACGTGACAGACAAATGGAAAGACAGACTTGCGAGAGTTCCTATGGGAGTTCCGTTTTTTTTTTTTGAGGTACGAAATCTTACGTGTTATTTATTATTATAATTATATATTTGATTTTTTATTAACACTTAACTGATTTAGGTAAGAATTAGTATAGAGTTGTAAAAAAAAAACTGTAATTTAGAAGCGAAGGGTCGAAACGGATGTGACGTCATCGCAATTTCACCGGCGCAATGTCGCCGGCAACACTAGTGGTAGAATAAATCTAGCATCCTTTCTATAAATGCAACTATCAACTTCCTTAGTGTGACTTTTATTAGTAAATTAGGTGACTTGCGCACTGAACCACCTCGCAAGTTCATACGTGACACACGGTCGTGGAGAACAAGTAGCAAATGTTCATTTTAATTAACACTGAACAATACAGATTGATTAATTCGTAAAGCCTCTGCATAGAATAGGCCTCACCTTCCTTTCCAGTGGGTGTCGTAAAAGGCGACTTTTTTTATATCACTTAGAATGGTTGTTGATGGTCCACCTGATGGAAAGTGGTAACCGTCGCCTATAGACATGAGCAGTACCATGGACATAACAGAGTATACTGTTTCGCCCATGATACCCCCATGCGTTGCCATTCCTGAGGACTCAGGTGTTATTCCTCTGTACCCAGTTAATTAACGCCATATCCCACCCTTCAAACCGAAACACAGCCATGCAAACACAGCTGCTTCACGGTTGAAACACGAATGGGACTCAAGCAATTGACTTTTGTACAGTCTCCCTCTAGTAAGACTAAGAGAGAGCGAGGGATTAGCAGCGGCGTCCCTCTTAAAACATTTAAAAAGTCTAACTGTGGTTGTCAATTCGCTTACCAAGCATGGCAACTACTGGCAAAACTCCCGTTACGGAGAAGGCCTATGTTCAGCAGTGGACAGTTAAATGCTGATGATGATGGATACAGATTGCCGTGTGGTCCCGTCATAGAATAGGCCACCGCTTTCCAGTGGATGTCGTAAGAAACGAGTAAAGGAACTTACTGGACAGGGGATGGGCAGCAGTGTCCCTCTTAAATCGTCACCAAATACTGCGGTTACCAACCGACTTACAAAGTATGGCAGCTACTAACAACACCCCCAAAGGGGAGGCCTGTTGTTAGACTATATGTTTATATTTTATACAAATACATATTGTTATTTACTAATACTATAAATAGATAATCAATTGATTGTTTTTGACGTTGTTATAATTCAATTATTAAATGTTAGTATATTATTTTAATAAATACAATATAATATTTTATAGTACGATGTTAATAAAATATTGTACTAATATTGACTTTGTACAAAAGTCGATTGCTTGGGTACCTCTGTCCCATTCGTGTTTCGACCGTGAAGCAGTTGTGGTTGCATGCAACTGTGTTTCTGTTTGAAGGGTGGGATATGGCGTGAATTTACTGGGTACAGAGGAATAACACCTGAGTCCTCAGGAATGGCAACGCATGGGGGGTATCATAGGCGAAACAGTATACTCTGTTATGTCCGTGGTACTGCTCATGTCTATAGGCGACGGTTACCACTTTCCATCAGGTGGACCGTCAGCTTGTTTGCCATTCTAAGTTGTATAAAAAAAATTGTCACGTAAATGCTAGTCAGATTATTGGAATGTCAATTGTTTTAGTTTTAAATTTAAGTATTGCAATTGATTCGATCATGTATCCGTTACATTATTTTTGTATTTATAATTTTTAGAGAGGGCAATAACGAATGGACTGGCTGTCATTCATTTCTGCTTTAATTTTTGCTGAGGGAACACGTATTAAACACACGTATTCAAGATTAAAAATATCTTTAATTTCTTATAATAGCCGGTAAATAATCTTCCAGCTATTACTATATTTATCAATGGCTGATTGGATGACGAATTAATATTTTTACATAATTATCTAAATAGAATCATACATATGAATGACTAAATACTCTATAAACAGACAATAAAATTCTAAACGATATACAGATATAGGAAATATAATAGTGAGGGAAGTCAAAACAACTAGTTTTAGTATGTCTGTTTGTCATTTTATCTGTTTGTTTGTTCGAGCATAACTCATAAACTATTGCACTAATTTGAATGCAACATCCACAATTATGAACTTGAAGAATTTAAAATGTATTGTATGTTTAAATAAATTTAATACGCCATCTATGGTAGAAGTGTATATCATAAACTTTTCTTCTTACGTAACAAAACAGCGTATCTAAAGAAAATTTTTGTTTACCTACTTTCATAATCAGAGCATTCGAAATTGCAGGCAAAAGCTAGTCTTTACATACATGCATTTGTAATACATATTTGCGCTGCATTCAGATATCTCGTTTTGCATAATATATTCCCGTTTGTAATCAGGGCCATTGTAATGAAATTATCAATTACCAATGAAAAAAAAATCACTTCTAAAGAGCTACATTTCGTGCCAGTAATATAGCCCATATATTTTTTTTAATTAAATATATTATATATATCTACCCGTGCAAAACCGGGGCGAGTGCCTAGTAAAGTATTACGTTAATTATTTGTTACGCTACTAGCGCGTATGTCACAGTCCGTTCCATTATCACACGACCTACGAGAATGATACAAGTAGTGTAGGCCGCATGACGCCAGCCCGTGCACCGCGGTCAAATAGATTTAAAAAAAAAAAGAGATAAAATTTTTATTAAAAAGAAAAATGTATAAAAATTTACCAACCCGCGTTTCCCGCTCAGTTATTGTGCATGTGTGCGTAGCTCCGGATCTGTTATAAATAATTAAAATTAAGAGAAACAAGTTTTGTTTAATTATTAAAAAATAATTATAAATAAAATGTTATCGTCCGAAGTGCTAATATTGTTGTGTTTGTGTGGTAAGTTTCAAAACTTTCATTAATTAAATATAAATAAATACATATATTTAACCAAAGAACAGCTATTAAATAAACGTATTTACTCACATGTTGACTTTTTTGTTTGTTAGAAATTATATTAACTTTAAATTTTCACTGTAAGTCAATAGATATTATTTATTTTTATGTATTATATATTTATTATAGTTAAGTATGATGCTATTTATTTTAAATATAATATAATATGTTAACTAGACAAATAAATACCTAAAAGAATACCTAAAAGATCACATTTTGTTATCAAAAATAATAGATACCAATTAAACAAGATACAATCATTACAATTCAGTACGACGATTTCAAAATTGATATATTTATTTTACCCCAAAACACTATGAATCTAAAAGTGTACTCACTAAACTTTTAAATAATTTAATATATAAATATAATTAAATTAGTTTTTACTACTCTGATTATACTTCTTATTGAGTTCTTATTATATTTTGTAAAAATAAAAATGTAACACATTTTTATTTTTACAAAGTAGCACTTGCTTGAGATTCTGAACAAAGCTACACCAATTTTGATGAAATATGATATACTTCTATATTGTTTAATCATATAAACCATAGATACAGAGAAACTTATTTTCATTTAATTTATTTCAATTATTATGATAGTATTTATAGGAGTTCAACACGAACGATGTCAGGTGTTACGAACTAGTATACAATAAACACTTAATTGTTACAATTTAAAGGTACACAAGTACTAAGAGTAATAATTCATCTTTAAAATAATTTTATTTAGTCTTTAAAAAAAAAATTAAAGATTTATTTATTTATTCAACTGTACATGTATGTGTAGAAGGCGAACCTAAGGCTAAAAGCATTCTCTCTGACAACTATAGGGAAGTATCAGAATTATTTGTTAATTATTGATATACCTATCTATCTATCTATCTTATTTAAGAGCTGCGCTCTTGTCGGTGGAGCTCTTGCCACTCACTACGATTTTTAGTGAGTCTCTTCACCTCTTGATACGACACGACACTAACTCCTTCCTTGATCTGCCTGATGTAACTATGCCTTGGTCTCCCTCTTCCCCTCCTTCCTTCTATCTTACCTTCTATTATAATGTTCACAAGTTCGTCGTGTCGTATCAAGTGTCCCAACATTTTTCCATTGATATACCATTTTTATGGTTAATATTGATATACCATGCATACTAAAACTTACATATATCATCATCATCACCATATCAGCCTTTAACGTCCACTGCTGAACATAAGCCTCCCCATTGAGGGGTTTTGCCAGTACTTGCCAAGCTTGGCAAGCAAATTAGCAAACGCAGTTAGGCTTTAGAGATATTTTAAGAGGGACGCTGCTGCCCATCCCTCAACCTCTCTTAATCGTCTCTTATGACACCCACAGAAAAGAAAGGGATGGCCTATTCTATGCTGGGGCCACAGGGCCAAAAAAAATTTACATATACAAACGAAATTATTATTTTTTTTTATAAAATAAAGACTTTTCAGCGTTCATTTTACTAAAACTAGACCCAACTGTAATTGCTAATACTGAGTAATAATTATTATTCTATACTAATAAGGCATTAATTCATTTCGACCAAATAAATAATAACCGGTTCATAATTAACGTGGATATCGTGTAATATACACGCAAATAATTATTATGTGGTTTTATTTCACAAAAATAAACCTATTTTAGTCATAACGTAATTCATTAAAAAGTATTATATTTAAAAATGTATATATATTAAAATAATACCTTTATATTATATGTAAACAGGATAAACTCAAAAATTACTCAATCGATTTTAAAAATTATTTCGTCTATAAAAATATAAAATTAATGTTACCTAGTAACATAACCTATATATTATTTTCATAAAAATTAGTTTTCTAAGAAAATTATAATAATGTAACGCAAAAATATAAAAATACTAATTTAATAAGTTCTCATTAAAATGAACTGTATTTATTATTTTTATAAATACAACAAATAAAATGTAAATAAACTAAATAAATAAAATAACTTTCTATATACCCGAGCGAAACCGGGAGGAATCGCTAGTAATGGATAAACTTCATCATATCAGCCCTTAACTGTCCACTGCTGAACATAGGCCTCTTCCTTGGGGGGTTTTTTGCTGGCAAAATCTACAAATACTGGTAGTTGTAGACTTTTGACAGGCAGGTTGGCAACTGCAGTTAGGCTTTGGGGACGTTTTAAGAGGGGCGCTGCTTTTCATCCTTCACCTTAGTTACCTCTTCCGACACCCACGGGAAAGGAAGAAATGGTCCATTCTATGCCGGGACCATATGGTAATCTATCTTGTTCAGTGTTAATTAAAACAATATTTGCTGTATATGGGACTACTTACATACGAACTTAAAAACTATAAAAATTCTTTCACCTGTTGAAATCTACATTACTAGCAAGAAATGGACTGTATTCCATTAAAACAAAAACCATGCAAAGCCAGGTTCAGGTTACTAGTTGCCAAATATACAAAAAAAAAGATACTATCTACAGACAACGTGCGTGCGCCATAATCTCGCCACGATAATCGTAACGACCCATTAACGTGCTACTAGGCACGTGTTCCCCATAAGACGAGGGGAAGATATACTATCCTATTATTACGCCACTGCACAGACGGTTTGTTATGGGGTTTTACTTCCAATTTTCCTTCTTTAGCGCTAATGTCTTACGCTTTGTTCCCTTGCCCGCTTCTTATGAATTGAGGATGAAAAGGATTACGAATTGAGGATCAAAAGGAGTAGCAATACACATTTTTACTAATACCATTACGTAAGTATAGAGAGGATGATGTATTTGTTTATTTATTTTGTTTATTTAAACTTCAATACACAATTATTACGTAAGTATATAGAGGATGATGTATTTGTTTATTTATTTTATTTATTTAAACTTCAATGCACAATTATTACGTAAGTATAGAGAGGATGATGTATTTGTTTATTTTTTTTTTTTATTTAAACTTCAATGCACAATTATTACGTAAGTATAGAGAGGTGATGTATTTGTTTATTTATTTTATTTATTTAAACTTCAATGCAATATTATATAAGTAAGTGTACATATAGCAGACTTAACACCTAATGGCGTTCTCTACCAGTCAACCACTCACTATTTTCTCAGTGAAGGCTTGTTGATTTGTTTTGATTTATTACCAAGTTGCTGTATGTTCCCGGCATATATACCACTCCTTCCTTTCCCGTGAGTGTCGTAAGAGGCGAGTAAGGGAACTTTATGCTCGAGAGATAGGCAGTAGCGTCCCTTTTAAAATATTTTATTATTTATATTATTATTTCAGCCATTAACTACTGTCCACTGTTGAACATAAGCCTTTTCCATAAGGGGAGTTTTGCCAGTAGTTGCCACTCTTAGCAGGTGGATTGGCAACCGCAGTTAGGCATGTAGAGATGTTATAAGAGGAACACTGCTGCCTACCCCATTTTAAAACATTACCAAACTCTAACTGCGGTTTCTAACCCGATTACCAAACGTGACAACGATTGGTAATACTCCCCTTATGGGGGAGGCTTTTGTTCAGCAGTGGACAGTTAACGGCTGAAATAATAATTAAATAATAAAAAAATAATAATAAATAATATATAATAGTAATAATAATAATTACTATTATTATTATAATCTTTTGTAAGGAACAATAAAGAATATCTTAATCAATACATACAATAAAATCGTAACTGATCGCTGTCTGTATATGAAAGATAGAAAAACTATTATAGGGAGGCTTTATGAACGCGATAGTACCCAAAACAATGATTTTTAGAATTTTGTCTACTTGTCTCTTTGTGCAAGTTAATCTCAGAAACGGCTTAACCGATTTGAATGCGATTTTCACTAATGCGTTGCGATTTGCTCCACTTAAAATTTAGTGTGTGTTTTATTTCAATCGATTCATAAATAAAAAAGTTATATTAATCTAAAGGATCACTTAAAAAACCGATCAGTTGAATTGGCTGAAACTTTATGAAGGTATTAGGTATGTAATTGTCATTTAAATATATAATACAATGTAAGAACACAGCCACTTTCTACCATCGTACGGCTCGCCATCGACAGGGAGTTCATCCTCATGTCCTACAGCCTCAATGGTCGTGTACTGCGCGATTTCAGAGATGTTTCCTCCCACGAACACTTAGGTTGTGGAATGAGCTCCCTGCCGACGTTTTCCCAAGAGACTGCATGGGGTTCTTCAAAAGGGGGGTAAAGAGGTTTCTTCAGGGTCGGCAACACACGCGTAATACCTCTAGTATTGCAGATGTTCATAGGCTACTATAACCACTTACCATCAGGTGGGCCGTATGCTTGTTTGCCACCTCAGTGGTATAAAAAAAAAGACCGGATTCATGAAGGGTTCCAACGGGAATGATATACGGGAACTACATAATTAGAAGCGGGCAACGCTGCGGGAAATGACTAGTTCCACCTATGTGTTCTTGGAAAAAATTTTCTTTTTCATTAATAAAAATATTTATTTAAAATATGCTAACGATTTCTATTGTGTCCAGTGTATAAAAACAAAATGCGATTATTTTACGAAAGAACGACCGAATTGTCAATATTTTTAACATTCAATAGATTATATTTAAAATTTAAATTGCATAAGTACACAAACATCTTAAAATAATTTACATAATTTATAATTTTTAAATATTATTAGTGTATTGTCATTATTTGTAAATAATGGCCACATTTAGTATAAAGGTGATTGTGAAGGTGTGAAATATTAAAATTTTAATAACAATAATTAATACATATTATCATTGTGATGCCGTGTGGTCCCGGCATAGAATAAACCACCCCTTCCTTTCCCGTGTGTGTCGTAAGAATCGACTAAGAAAGGGCGAGGGATGGGCAACAGCGTCCCTCTAAAGCCTAACTGCGGTTGCCAATCCGCCTGCCAAGCGTAGCAACTACTGGCAAAACCCCCCAAATGGGAGGCTT